GAAAGAGTCAGTGGAGATCTCCTTACCCTGCAACTTCTCCACTTGCAGTTCTTCTTGGGATACACCACAGCTGGCTCCAGCTTCGTCTTTGGGAACACGCTCATTAAAGAAGTTTTTGCCTTTCAGGTCAGCTTGGGGAACAGGGCATGGGAGGGAGTGGCAGAGCCTGGCTTTCTCCTGGTCTGGCTGCCTTGTTGGGTGCTGGAGAGCATGGAGCTAAATGCAACCAGGCCTGCGCACAGAGCTCAAACAGTTCAAGGATGGGTATCCCTCAGCTTTTAACCCATCTGTGAACCTCCTCAGTGCTGTGAAGGTTTTTCACTTGTCCCTGTCCCTCCTGCCAGCCTGGCCCAATAGCAATGGCTGGTGATGCAATACCATGCCATGTCCAGCTCATGGGACACAAGGGCTTGGTCCCCAAGTATACTTAGATGTGATGCTCAGCTGTCCTTTAACCTTGTGCCCTTGCCCACAGACTCTGCCCATTGTTGTTTTCTTCAGTTGTGTGATGTCCATCCTCTACTACCTTGGTGTCATGCAGTGGCTCATTGTCAAGGTAGGGCCTTACACCTGGCTCTGGGGTGGTGGTGGAAAGGAGAAAAACCTGCTGGGTTTTCAGACTACTGTGTTCAGCTGAGGGATGTCCCAGGGAAATTAGCATGATGCTAATCTGGGGAGATTTGTCCTGCTTAAAATAATAGACACAAACCCCTCTATTTTGCATGCCCTCCCAAGGAAGTTCAGCCCTGGAGCTGATGTTGCTACCTGGTCTTTGGGCATTTCTCAAGATTCCTTCTGTGCAGCTTGAGGGCCAGTGAGTGCCCTGCTACATGGAGTGGGTGGCAGTAGCCTTCGTGAACATGGTGGCCTTGTCTTCCCCAGATCTCCTGGCTGCTTCAAGTCTCAATGGGCACCACTCCCACTGAGACCCTGAGTGTGGCGGGAAACATTTTTGTGGGACAGGTAAGGTATTGGGCAGGAGACCCAGCTCCTCAGCCCTCACTGCTCAGCTTGCCCTGGAGGAAGGGTTGTTTTCTCCCTTCTCAGGAGCAGAAGACCTGCGGTCCTGTGTGACCCTGTTTCAAAGACTACAGGCTTTTCTCTCTCCCAGACTGAAGCTCCGCTGCTCATCCGCCCATACCTGGCAGACATGACCCATTCAGAAATCCATGCTGTGATGACTGGTGGCTTTTCCACCATTGCAGGCAGTGTGATGGGTGCCTATATATCCTTTGGGGTGAGTGCACAAGCAGGTGACTGCCACATATTCCCTGCTATAGGGTCCTGACATGCAAGAGCTGCCCTGGACTTGTGAGTGGGAGAAAACACTTGTGAGTGGGACTTGTGAGTGGCAGGTGCCCCATGGTCCCCTTCTGTAAGCAGGATGAGAACAGGGTGCCTTCATGTCCAGCCTCACCTTCTCCAGCCTCATGAAAATGCCAGAGCCCTGCCAGGTAGCAGGCACTGGCATGGGACCCTCACTCATGGCCTTGCACAGTGAGCTGGGCAAATCTCCCTGAATCATGGGATAATTTACCCTGGATAGACCTTCTGACCCACCCTCCTGCCCAAATCAGGTGATGGTAAAGCCCAGTGGGATGCCCGGTGCCTTGTCCAGGTTGGTGGTGAACATCCCCATGGATGGAGATCTTCCCACCTCTCTGGTCCACCCCATAGGCATCTCAGTTAAGGGAACAACTTTTTTCCTTACATCCAACTGGAATTCCCCCTCTGATACTGTGTCAGTGCTTCTCACCCTTGCACTGGGCACCTCTGAGCAGTGTCTTCCCTCTATCCTCTGTTCAAGTGGTTGGGAATGGCAGATACAAGCCCCCAGCTCTTTTCTCCCAGATGAACAGGTCCTACACCTCCAGCATCACCTGCACAGTCCTGTGCCCCAGCCCTCCTGGAGATGCCCTCTCCATCACTGTCTCAGCCCTGGACACAGTGTCCAGACATGGCCTCATCAGAGATCTGTAAAGGAGAATAAACCTTCCCCTTGACCTGCTGGCTGAGGTCCTGCCATTTAAACATTAATTAGTCTCCTTAAATGAGAAACCAAAGGTGAAAGGCCAGAGAGATGAGAAATTGCCACTCCTTGGGCATGGGAGGGAGGGGTGGCACCAGGAGCTTGGCTCTTCATCAGCAGGTAGAAGTTTGCAATGTTGCACCAATTGCTCTGATACCAATAAAAGGGAACAAGGAAGGGACCTCAAGATGAGGTCAAACAGCAGGACAGATTAACTTCCCCAAGGCTGTGATCGCTGCAGCTCCAGCAATGCCTCCATCCAGGACTGACATGCCACTCCTGGTTAAGATAGGAAAATCAGATGTTTTTCTCTTAGCGACGGATGAAGCCTGAACTGCTCCAAGCATCACTGGGTGATGCCACCCATGTGCTGGAATGCCCTGGTGGGCATGCCCCAGGGCCCAGCCTTTCGAAGAGGTGCCTAAACCCATGGTCTGCATGTTGCAGATCGATGCAGCATCACTGATCGCAGCCTCCGTGATGGCTGCGCCCTGCGCCCTTGCCATGTCCAAACTCGTCTACCCTGAAATTGAAGAGTCCAAGTTCAAGGGCAAAGGAAGCATCCGCCTCTCCAGTGGGTGAGTGTGAGAAGAGGGATGGTGGATGCTTGCACACATCCTGGCAGTGCACAGAAGCCCTAGGGGCAATTTAGGGGACACAAGTGGACATCGCAGGTTGGAAGACCCTTTAGCGTGCAGACATCCACAGAGATGACCTTGCACATGAGCCAACTGGGGTCTTTTTCCACACAGGGAAGAGCAGAACATCCTGGAAGCTGCAAGCAATGGGGCTGCTGCCTCCGTGGGGCTCGTGGCCAACATTGCAGCCAATCTCATTGCCTTTTTGGCAGTGCTGGAGTTCATCAACGCTGCCTTGCGCTGGTTCGGGGAGATGGTGGACATTGAGGGGCTCTCCTTCCAGGTACCCCCAAGGGCAGCCCCATGGTTTTGGGCTACCAAATCCCACAACCCCCACCCATCCCTCTCTTTGCCCACTGCCCTCAGTAGGTTGCTGAGACCCTTGCTCGGTGTTTGGCAGCTGATGTCCAGACCCAGGGCTATGCAGATGGTCAGCTCTGAGTTGCTCCTTTCTGGGATGCTTTTCCCAGGTGATCTGCTCCTATGTCCTCATGCCTGTGGCCTTTCTTATGGGAGCTGACTGGGCAGACTCACCACTGGTGGCTGAGCTCCTGGGAATCAAGATCTTCCTGAATGAGTTTGTGGCGTACCAACAGTTGGCCACGTACAAGAAGAACCGTCTGTCAGGCCTGGAGGAGTGGGATGGGAGCCGGAAGCAGTGGATATCTGTGAGGGACACCTGCCACCCTACTGGGCACAGGACAGGGTTGAAGCCAGCCCAAACAGGGCATGGGGCCTGGCCAGGGTGACAGGCAGGCAGGGGAATGATGGGGGGGGGGTGGGAGGACACCTATG